AATTTTTATGTATCGATTCGACAATAATCGTATAAAATGCCTTTTTAAAATTAATAAATATACGAAATATAGCATTGCATATCGAGGCCCGAAAGTATAGAATACCTATCAAAAAAATTATGGTAAACTCATTAAGTTAATAAAAGCTACTATCAAAAAAAGTAATTTTTAAAACATGAGAAACGTTTGTACTGAAGTAAACAATCTGAAGTAGTTTTATATATTTATTTTAAATCTTTGTTTGATTTGCTCATCAACGCAATACTTTTATGCTTATATGTGTTTTTAATATATTACCATATCTGATTGAAATTTTATATGGGGACTCATATTTCACATATTTTTATATACATATTTTAAAATAGAGCTTGGTGACAAGTTAATACTTTGTTCTACGTATATATATATATATATATATATATATATATATATATATATATATATATATATATATATATATATATATATATATATATATATATATATATACATATATATATATATATATATACATATATATATATATATATATATATATATATGTATATATATATATATATATATATATATATATATATATATATATATATATATATATATATATATATATACATATATATATATATGTATATATATATATATTTTTAATTATCTTCGCTTCCAACAAGGTTGCAAGCAACCACTAATTAGTGTTGGAAGTTATTGGAAGAGTAAAGATGAAGATTGTAGAGCAAAATAACGATTGACAGACGACTTAAAATATTGCGAATTATATGAATCAGGAAAGCAAGATAAAGGAAGCGAATTCCAAAGAACTGATGTTCGAGGAAAAAAACTAGACGAATAAGAGTTTTTGGAGCACTTAGGAACAGTAACAGAAAAAGGATGAGACTTAATTGAATGACGAGTAACACAAGAATGAATTTTAGTAGATGGCACAAGAGACGCTAGCTCTTTAGAGCAGTGCCCATTATAGTATTTGTAGAAAAGAGAATGAGAAGCAACATTACGACGATGTGACAGAGGTTGGAGGTTGGCTGCAAGAGCAGGTCCAACTATGTTTACAATGCGTTTTTGCACCTTGTCGAAAAGAGAAAGGGCATCATTAAAAGATCCGCCCCAGATATGGCAATAGTATTCCATACAAGGCCGGATTTGAGATTTATAGAGATAGAGAATAGAATCCAGAGTAAGAAAGTGACGAGCTTGATAAAGAGATGCAACAGCAGGTGCTAATTTTGCAACGGATTTGATATAAGGTTTCCAAGAAAGATCAGAAGTAAGAGTTAATCCTAGAAGATAAAGGGTAGGAGACTCATCGAGTACATTACCGTTCATAAATATAGGAAAGTCTAAATTATTGCGATAACGATTGGCCGAAAAAAATTGAGTTTTATCTGAATTAAAGTTCACCAGCCACTGCGAGCCCCATGCTGTAGCAGAAGTGAGATCCTTTTTGAGCTCAGATGCCCCCTGCAAGCAATCAGAGGGAGTTGGCTTCTTATCGTGACAAGAATAAATGCTAGTATCATCAGCGAACAATGCCACCTTAGATGAGCAGCCGTGGCGCAGTGGTAACGCACTTGTTTCAGAAACGTAAGATATGTGGTTCAAACCCCACCTCTGGACAAGTTTTGGGACATCGGTTGGGAAGGAGGCGTGAACTTCCTATTAAATACTCTTTCGCGGTGCTCTGTGATAAGACCGTAAGGACTTCTTGGGGCACCTAAATCAACATAAAAAAAAAAAAAAAAAAAGATGTGAGAATATCTGGAAGATCCTTAATGTAAATTAAAAAGAGTATAGGGCCAAGGATTGAACCTTGAGGAACCCCTGAGGTTACAGAATAAGAAGAAGAGTGCTGTCCATCAAGGACAACTTTTATACTACGATTAGAAAGGAAGGATTCAATAATCTTAAAGTTGTTTTCAAATACATTGTAAGAAGAAAGCTTATGGAGAAGACCAGCATGCCAAACTTTATCAAACGCTTTAGAAATGTCAAGAGCAATGGCCTTAACCTCTCCACCTTAATCTAATGCGCGATAAAATCTATTGGTTATTACTGATAGCAAATCAGCCGTAGAACGAGAAGATCGAAATCCATATTGATGATCAGAAAGTAGGTTATGAGATTCGAGATGAGAGATTAAGTGTTTGTTAATTAAAGATTCAAAAACCTTGCTTATGATAGGAAGAAGACTAATGGGACGGTAGTTAGATGAGTCAGATCGCTCTCCAGAATTTTTGAAAATAGGGATAACAGATGCTGCTTTCCAGCAGGCTGGAAAACAAGACTCTGATAAGCACTTGTTGAATAGTTTTGAAAAGATAGACGACAGCTCAGGAGAACACTTCTGCAAGACTATAACAGGTATGTTGTCCGGGCCGCAAGCTGTAGAAGAGTCTAAGCGGGAAATCACTTTAGATACAGAAGCTGGAGTTATACGAATGTCAAGCAATGGATTAACCTGTTTGACGGGTATATCAGGTAAAACGCAACTAGTGGAATCAACAGATAATATTGATGAAAAGTTCTTGGCAAACAATTCAGCTTTGTCTTTAGGTGAGGTGACAAAGTCTGAACCGTACAAAAGAAGTGGAATTACAGACTTGCCCTTATTATTGATACTATTAAAGATTCTCCAGAAGTCACGAGAGCCTAATTTTTGTGATGAAATACGAGATTTCATGATCTGAGAATAGCGGGTTTTGGCGTTAGACAAAATCTTTTTACAATGGTTCCTAGTAGTAATAAAGAGACGTCTGTTTTCTGGAGAATTGTTTTGCTGATAGATATAGAAGTAATGGTTTCGATTGGCAATTGCAGCAGCACAATGTGAGAAAAACCATGGAGAAGAGTAAGGCTTGACCTGGAATCGTCGAGAGGGAATAAAGGATTCCATGCCAGCCTGAATCCATGAAGTTATGTAAGAAGCACATTTGTCAACAGGAAGACAAAAGATTTCTACCCAGGGGCCATCACGAAGAAAGTCACGAAAAGAGTCCCAGTCAGCTATAAGGTAGTTGTAAGATGTACGATGATAGGGGAATTCTAATGGTAAAGAAGAATGAGATAATAGTTTTAGAGAGACCAAACCATGATCAGACGCACCTAAGGGTGAGTGTGAAGAAACTGAAACTGACTAGGATCAGAAACAAGACATAAGTCGAGTAGAGAAGGTAAATGATTCGGGTTGTCTGGAAAGCGAGTTGGAAAGTTGACTATTTGAGTAAGGGATTGAGAAAGACAAAAGTTGTGGGCCTTAATGCCTGCAGAGTCACTGACACTAGAGCTAAGCCATTCAGTGTGATGAACATTAAAGTCACCGACAACAACAATATTGGTTGATGGATAAAGAATGAGGGCTTGGTCAATATAATCAGAAATAACATCAAGAAGAGTGCAGTCTTGGGATGAGGGAGAGCGATATAGAACAAAGAGAAAGGTGATAGAGTGAAATGGTGCTAAACGAAAGCACATAAAAAAGTAGTCTGTGGATTCAAACTTAGTTTTCCGACAAATGGGTGAATTTTTACGAATGTAAATGCCCAGGCCAAGCATGTGACTATTGGAGTCTATACGAATTAAAGGAAGATAACCATCAACACTAAGATCGCAAGATGAGACAGTTGAATTCAAATTAGTCTCACAAAGAGCAAGCAGGTCTGGTGAACTTTGCAAGAGATAAGACTCAACAGAAGAAATATTACTTCGAAGACCACGAATATTGGTGAATGATAGGTTTAGCGAACTTGGTGATGACTGTGGTTTTTTGTGTTTTATAGTTTTTGTTACTTTATTCATTTTTAAATTTGTTAAAGAACTTGACTCGAAACATTGATAGTACTCAGTACACTGTTCTATAGCTCAAGCAATTGCCTCATTTCCACTAATAAACCCTAAGCCGTAACAAAGGGCTCCAATGTGGCCTTGGCAATGCACACCAAAAGTACAAACAGGGACACCATCCATGCGCAACATGGCACTGTTAGTACTCTGATATTTTTCAGCTGTTGATGGAATCAGCCTCTCTGAGAGCTACCACAGAGTTCGGGAAACCTGACTACCAGCCGGCCTCAGAACCATAAAACTGAGTTTTAGAGCTGTACCCTCATTTGGAGATAGAATGAGTTGCCTAGTCATAAAAACAGAGACACAAGCAAAACCCATGAATCGAGTCAAGAAGATCCAGCGTTCAACATCCTAAACTGGAAACAATGTATTAAAAATACATCTGCGCCAGCCTAATAGATGACGAAGGGGTGCGAGGCTGGTCAACAGATAGAATCTGTTTACCCCTTAAGTCTTTGCCTAGGAGGCCTTCTACAAGACAGCAGCCGGATGCATGTAACATCTGCCCAAGATGAGTATTTTTATCGAGACACCATCTCTAGCCTTTACTCAACCAAAAGCCCCAAGGCAGGGGGTGTTTTATATCGGAGTTTGCATCTCCTAGCCTTTGCCTAAAAAGGCATATCCTACAAGGCAGCAGGATATGAAGCAGATTGTACTGGGTTACATGTTACCAGTAGCAGGATAAACCATATATATATATATATAATATATATATATATATATATATATATATATATATATATATATATATATATATATATATATATATATATATATATAGCCATCAAAAGTTGTTTTTATTCATTTAATATAAATAAATAAATATTGCTCTATTATTTAATAGTATTGAGCACTCTTAAACGCACAAGAGTATTTGTATTATTATTATTATTATACCATAATAATACATTTTCTATTTTGTATATATATATATATATATATATATATATATATATATATATATATATATATATATATATATATATATATATATATATATATATATATATATATTTATAAATATATATATATATATATATATATATATATATATATATATATATATATATATATATATATATATATATATATATATATATATATATATATATATATATATATATATATTAGGGTGGGGCATAAAACACCTAAGTCAATAAAAAAAATACCATAATAGTTTTTCTGGTTCCTTTTGATATCTGTATTAAAAATATATAGTTTTTTTATGGGTACTCCTATGGTCGGTCCCAGCAGTCCGAAATTTTGAAAATTTCTACTTTTTGTAAATAATGAGGGGGGCTGGGTCACTTACAAATATTTCAAAGATATCTTTAAGGTTATTTTTGTAGCCTGATAAATCTTATTTAAGATTATATTTTGTTTTATTGCAAAAAATGAAATGAAATGGTCAGCCCTACCCATTTAAAGACATGCTGTGTAAATTTGGGAGGTGTGGGGGGGGGGGGAGTAAAATTTTTTTCTTACAATTTTAAATAAAATTTTTTTTACATTTGTATTTATTTTTTAAAGAAAAGTTATTTTAAAGCTTTCAACCAAGATTTTTTTTCTGTTGTCTGAAATTTTAGACGATGATCTGCAACAACTAGTAAATTAGCTTGGTTATCTTCTTCGTTTCGGAAAGTTTCAATAAAGTCTTGACCAAGTTTAATTGCACGTTCTGCACTGTCATTTACAACAAGAAGACCAGTGATATAATTTTTAAATCTTATATAACCTAAACATGTTTCCCAGTTTGATGAACTGATTTTCAGCCATTCTGTCTCATGTAATGTCATTTTAAGTAAATCAAAGAAAAACCAGCTTTCAGGACCAATAAAATCTTCAACTCTTTTTTTTTATTTTTTTTTCATTGTCAGTAAAAATTTCTGAACTTAGTTTTCCCATTTTATAACTGGTAGGCTTTTCTGTTTGAGCTAATTTAAGAGCTAATTTATGTAGCTGATCTACAGGTAAGCATTTATCAGCAAGACACATAACCACAGATCTTTCATTTAAATACCAATTGTGTTTTTCAAGTGACTTTAGTACGGCCTCTGCTGGTTTAATACATAATTTAGAATTTTGTATCATTTCATTAATGGCTTTTAGATCTAAAGAAGGTGCTATGGCAGGGATAGGAGCTTTAATAAACCATGGAACATCAAATAGTGCTGTAAATGAACCAATTTCATGAATCAGCTTTCCCTCTTGTAATAATATTATATCAGGACATAAGTTACTGAATTGTGGCTGTAGAATGTCGTATGTTAAATAATAAACGCCCTGTGCCATAAACCTGGCATGATGTGAAGCCATTGGAAATCTAAAGTGAAAATCTTTTACTTTGCCACCTAACCAAAGAACTGTTAACTGTATAAAATACTTGTAGTCATTTCTTGGAAATATATCATTATTGAGGCAATTTTGAAGGAATGTTAATGATTCAGAGGCCTAAAATAAAAAATAAAGAAAGTTTATCATTAAAACTTATAATCAAACAGATTAATCTAATTAGGACAATCAAACCAACCTGCTTTTCCAAAAAAGATTTAATTTTTTTTTCTGAGTCAAATCTCTTTAGGTTATCATAATTTATCTTCTTTTCAAGAACCGATTTCCAATTACATTTTAGCCTTTCAAATAACTCAGTCTTTGGTCCACTTGTTTTACCCCCAGTAAGAACACTTGAAAAATGCTAAAATATATTTATTTCAAATCACTTAACTAAATTTTAAGAATAAGGTGAATTGTTATTAAATTCATCGAGAAATATTAAACAAATAAATAAATATAAAAATATTTTATGACTTCTTTTCAATATTTACCTTTATATGTAATTCGTAGACATGATGACGACAAGCCATCCAAATCAAAGCTTTTCCTCTCCACTGCTCAATAAGAGTACAGACTCCTTTTAGCCAACCAGTATTTGTGACTGTGGTGTCAAAGGACAGACAATCAACATAGTCAAATTGCTCCCAGTCTTGTAAAGTTTTTTTGATTGCTTTCCCAAGAGACTCAGCAGTGCCATTTTTCACAATTAAAATACCCAAAAGTTGGGATTCTGAAAGATCTGGTGAACTTATTAGCACAGCTAATCTTTCAACTTTTTCTTTACCAATTTCTCTCAATTCTACCATAGTTTTGGAGTCAAAATGCACGGTAAGACTTTTACCCTTAGTCAATATAATAAAGTTGTCTTTAATTTTACAGGCAGTCGTACTTATACTTGATTTTTTCTGCCTCAAAATACTTGGTTTAGAAATAGGAAAATCATCTGTTGTTCCAGAACTGTTATTTATAAGAGAAGCAAGAGTTGCACTCAGTGCAGTCGAACTTATTCCATATCGTGATGCTGTTGGAGCTAAATCTTTTCCTATATTTTTAGGAATTATAAGAGGAACCGCATGAGATTTTTTTAATTTTTATAGAAGACTGTAGATACTGTTCATCTTGGTCATTATCTAAAGTATTTAAATTTTTCATTGTCATCAAATTTCTCAGTAACCAACTATTTCTGTTTTCTTATGGACTCTTTTATACTTTGATTTTTTTTTTCATTTCTCTTTTTCTTTTATTTTTTACAATATTTTGTGAAATTTTATCTTTACCCAACATTTTCTGAACACACGCTCCTTTCTGGTCGTTAAGAAAATCTACATCCTCTCTTCTAGTTTTTAAATCTTTATTTTTATCTTTCATAATAGTATGTTCACAAATGTTTTGACTTACATCGAATACTTCGGTTCCTGTGTTTGTTTAAATCTTTTCTCTTCTTTTCTAAGTCAACAATCTTGTCTCTAAAACAAAAGTAAAAGAATGCATTAAAACTGTTGTAATTTATTATAAATATATAAAATGTTATGACTTTATAATTATTACTTATATAATATCAATTTTAAACTGGATAAAACTAAAAATTAAAAAGCATTTTAATATAATAAAAACCAGATATGCTTGTCAGTATTAACAAAAGGAATTCCTGCTTTTTGCCAAATTTTCTTCACTTCGTAAAGGACGCATGGTAAACATTTTTGGAGACAACCACCTATTTCAGCACATTGTGCAGTAAAGAAATCACCAAGTGGACATGAAGCTATACTAACTGATGAAATGTTTGGAAAATCAGCTCTTAGCATAAGATCTCTGTAATGGTAATATTGCAATACAGTTCTTTTAGTTAGCGATTGTGTGATAGGTATTGTTCCGATTCTTTTTCCAACAAGAAAAGCATTGTTTTTATTTACACTTAAATGAAAATTTTAAAAATTAGGGATTTTTTTTAACTGACCCCTCCTCCCCCTAACTCCCAAATATACACAGCATGTCATTAAATGGGTAGGGTTGACCATTTCATTTCATTTTTTGCAATAAAACAAAATATAATCTTAAATTAGATTTATCAGGCTACAAAAATAACCTTAAAGATATCTTTAAAATATTTGTAAGTGACCCAGCCGTCCTCATTATTTACAAAAAGTAGAAATTTTCAAAATTTCGGACTGCTGGGACCGACCATAGGAGTACCCATAAAAAAATTATATATTTTTAATACAGATATCAAAAGGAACCAGAAAAAACTATTATGGTATTTTTTTTATTGACTTAGGTGTTTTATGCCCCACCCTAATATATATATATATATATATATATATATATATATATATATATATATATATATATATATATATATATATATATATATATATATATATATATATATATATATATATATATATATATATATATATATATATATATATATATATATATATATATATATATATATATATATATATATGCATGTATATATATATGTATATATATATATATATATATATATATATATATATATATATATATATATATATATATATATATATATATATATATATATATATATATATATAATCCGATGATTATATATATATATATATATATATGTATATATATATATATATATATATATATATATATATATATATATATATATATATATATATATATATATATATATATAATTATATATATATATATCCGATAATAATATATATATAATAGAATCCGAAAAAATATTATAAAAATTTTCCGATAATAATATATATATATAATATATATATATATATATATATATATATATTATATATATATATATATATATATATATATATATATATATATATATAATATATATATATATATATATTTATATATATATATATATATATATATATATATATATATATATATGCATGTATATATATATGTATATATATATATATATATATATATATATATATATATATATATATATATATATAATCCGATGATTATATATATATATATATATATGTATATATATATATATATATATATATATATATATATATATATATATATATATATATATATATATATATATATATATATATCCGATAATAATATATATATAATAGAATCCGAAAAAATATTATAAAAATTTTCCGATAATAATATATATATATATATATATATATATATATATATATATATATATATATATATATATATATATATATATATATATATATATATATATATAATATTCCGATAATAATAATATATATAATATAATTCCGATAATAATATATATATAATAATTCGATAATAATATATATATAATAGAATCCGAAAAAATATTATGAAATTTTGAAAAAAATGAAAAAATCGGCTTCCAAATAGAAATTACGACAAACCTTTTTTTTTTTTTTTTTTTTTTTTATGTTGATTTTAGATGCCCCAAGAAATCCTTACGGTCTTATCACAAGCACCGTGGAAGAGCATTTAATAGGAAGTTCACGCCTCCTTCCCAACCGATGTCGCAAAACTTGCCCAGAGGCGGGGTTTGAACCACGGATCTTACGTTTCTGAGGCAAGTGTGCTCCCACTGCGCCACGGCTGCTTAAATCTAACAATCGCTAGCTTCTTAGACGTTACATTTAACCTTGAAAAAGACTCATATCATCCTTTCAAAAAACCAAATAGCAACCTACTTTACATCCACACTGAGCCCAACCAACCCCCACAAATTATTAAACAAATTCCGATTGCTATCAACGATAGGTTATCCCAGAATTCTTCTGACGAAAAAATATTCAACTCCGCAAAGGAAGAATATGACGAAGCCCTAAAAAGACATGGGTTCAACGATTTTAGCTTCAAATTTAACCCTAAAGTTGATACCAAATTAACCCCCAATTGTAAAAGAAAAAGAAATATAATCTGGTTTAACCCACCATACAATAAAAACGTTCAAACAAATATAGGCAAAACCTTCTTACAATTAATCGACAAACACTTTTAACCGTAACACAACAAAAGTCAGCGACAGCTGTTCAGGCAACATAGCAAAAATTATAAAGAACCACAACAATAAAATTATTTCGATGAACCCAACAGCCACTTTAGCTTGCAATTGTAAACTAAGCAAAATCTGCCCTATGAATGGAAATTGTAGAAAAATAAATGTAATTTATAAGTGCATTGCATCATTCCCAAACACATCCGACAAAACATACATTGGTTCAACATAGGGCATGTGGAAAACTAGATGGGCGAATCACAAGCAATCCTTTAAAAATAAATAACTCACAAATGCAACCACGCTTTCTAAATATATATGGGATACACAAAATAAAACAAAAACAACACCCAATTTAAAATGGTCTATCATAAAATATACCACCGCGTACAACAACATAACCAAAAAATGCTTGCTACGCTTATACAAAAAACTAAATACTTTATTGTATAAAAATCCTCAATTTAGTTAGAGTTAAATTACTCGGAGCGGGCGTGTTCCGTAAGCCCATCAACAGCTAGCCGTGCTAGCTCGTGCGAAATTGCACGGTAGATGATGCGCTGTAGTAATTATTAAAGCTGATCGAATTTTGCTTTGAAGCGATCGACACTGGTAGCACTGACTACTGCGTTAGGTAATGCGTTATATGGGTGAGCGACGCGGTTGTTGAAGGAATTATAGCAAACGAGGCAGTTGTTGTCCATTTAGCGATGAAAGCGCTTGCGATAACCGTAGCTAGGTGGGATGTTGGGTGGATAAACATGCCAGCTAATTGAGTCGATACTGTTTTCGAACTTGTATTTTTTAATGGGGTCGCCGCGTAAACGTCTATTTAATAGAGAGGTGAGACCGAGTTTGATGCATCTTGTCTCGTAATCGAAGCACTTTATTTCGTGCGGTACTTAGGTAACCCGATGCTGAACACGTTCTATGACATTTATATCTTTTTCAAGATGCGGGCACCAGGCAGTAACTGCAAACTCAAGATGTGGGCGTATATAAGTGGTGTAAAGTTTTTTCCATATTTTGGTATCTCTGCTTATAAACATGTTTTTCAATGTCCCGAGGACTTTATTAGCCTTGGCAGCGGCTATTTGTGCTTGCCTCTTATATTTTAAGTCGTTGGAAATTTGAACGCCTAGATCTTTTTCGGATATTGAAGACTCGATTACTGTTCTAGTGACGCTACCGTTAGCGTCGTACACGTTCATTAAATTAATGTGTGGGGAAACATTGTACTTACTGAAATGCAAGACTTTGCATTTCTTGATGTTGAGTTCCATTAACCAGGTTCGAGTCCAGGTAACAACGCTATCTATATCGGATTGCAGACTAGAACATCTACTGGAAGCTTGCGAGAAACGTTGTAGGTCAGAAAGTCCATGGCCTCAAGCAGATTCGTGACCCAGGCTTTTAATGACAAAGCCGTGCTGGCAATCGGCAATAAGTTTATGAGCTACAAGGTGCTGCATGATCTTTTCTTTAACAATTTTTTCATTATTTTGCATGGTACTGAGGTGATGGAGATAGGCCTATAGTTTTCTGGGTCAAGTCTGGAGCCTTTTTTAAACAGTGGCGTCACGTTTGCCGAGAGCCACGCTTTTGGGACTACACCTTGATCCATCGATTTCTAAAAAATGATGGCGAGCGGGGTAGCCTCAGCATCAGCGCATGTTTGAAGCACAAATGGACTGATACCGTCACCTCCAGTTGATTTATTGGCGTTGAGAGCAGATAGGTGTTTGTGAACGGAATCATAGCTGAAGATGACGGAGGAGATTAAAGCGGTTGTACGTTTAACAAAGGGAGGTAGTTGTTGATCTGATGGTTCGATTGTGAATACTGACTGGAACTGGCTGTTAAGTATATAAATCATTCCTCTTTGACAAGAGGAATGATTCGCCATTTGCTGTTGCGGTTGAGGTACCAAAGTTTTTTCTTGCGTTTAATTAGTAAAAAAAGTTCGCTGGTTAGCCAAGGCTGCCTGTGTTTGGCCGGTTTGGAGGTGACACGCGAAATAAATTTTTCACATAATTTGATATAGTTGTCGCAGAAGATTTGATAACATTCGTCGGCATATCGGTCTTTAAATAAACTAACCCAATCGACTTGGGAGAGTTTCTCGTTTAGATTTGCGTAATTACCTTTCCTGTAAATAAATTTTGAGATGTTAAAACGGGGAGAGTTGCAGACGTTTTTGGCTAGCTGGTGTTGCCATGTCATAGTGCAGTGACCTTGCGAGGCGCTACCAAGAGGAGGACCGATAGTAATATGGCTTAAACGTTCGGTTGTTTCGGTAATTACAAGGTCTAGTGTATTTTTGAACAGACCGTTGGCTTGGATGAAGGTGGGATTGATAACGTGCTGGTGTAGATGTAGGTCAAAAATGGTTTCGGCAAATTTAGTGCCAAAACTAGTTTCAGCGCCGGTGGTATTGGTCCAGTCGTCGTGCCATATGACGTCGTGCCATATGAAAGTTGAAGTCATCGGTGATTATTAGACCATTAAACTTTTTATTTCGCGTAGGAGAGCTTTTACTATTTCGTTAAAGGCCAGAACATTATTGGTAGGTAGGCGGTAGATGCAGCCGATTAGGAGAGATTCTTGTGGGAGTTTAAGTTCGAGCCAGATCTGTTCTGAGAAATTGCATTGGAAACCGATGTGAAGTTGAGAGTAGTCAATTTTGTTGGCAATAATGCCGTTCTTGACATATATGGCTACTCCTCCTCCACGACTAGAGTGATCTTTTCTAAAGAGATTGTAGTTGAGAATAGCTGGTGCTAAGGATTCGTCAAACCATGTTTCAGTGATAAAAATGGCGTCATAATCATAGAGGGACGTTGCTAATTCAAGTTCGGTGAGTTTATTAGGATTTAGAGATGTGGCATTTGGATAGAAGCAGTTTAGTAACAATTTAGAAGCATTGCTTTGTGAAGTGGGAGAAAACAAATTATTAATTATATGGAAACGGTCATGAGTTGAATATTGCGACTTCTCATTGGTTGGTTTGGGCCGCAGCGAGC